TGCTCCAGACATTTGTCCTTTGTGCGGTGGTAGACTGTGTTTACAATTTACCGTTAACTCTGATCTTTGGTTTAATAAAGCATTCTTACTAAATAATATGATATTTCTCATTTTTTTCATGTAAACACAAACAAGATTTCATATAAGGATCTACTCAGTTAATTGAAAAAATCTTTATCCTATGATATATATATATATATATATATATATATATATATATATATATATGTGTGTGTGTGTGTGTGTGTGTGTGTGTGTGTGTGTGTGTGTGTGTGTGTGTATATAAGGTTGGATCCATTACACTCATTTACGTGCTAATGACATTGGGAAAGGTATGAATCCTCTTTTTCTCTCTTCAGCTATGGGTAAATAGCAGGGCAGACTGGGTTCTATAGCCTTGGAAGGCAACTGGTCTTAGAGAAGGACAATTCTGAATTCAAAACCTGCAGAGGGTCGATTGGGGACCTTGTGGCATGTAGTGCACCAGGTCTCTGTATTCGGCCCTTCAAAAAGTGTGGCTGGTTCTGCACAAAACCTTCACCACTATAATCAAATCTCATGTGTTGGTACTGGGCTGTCGGTTTCCATGGAACTGATCTGCTTGATCCTCATGGGGTCGAATTCGAAGGGAAAGTAGAGTGTATAAAAGGTTAATGGTCAGAGTTGAATCAGATCAGGAAACAGTAGTGTTAAAAAGTGCTCAATACACGTGTGAAAAAAAATATAAATAAAAGTAAAAATAACATGTAGAGCTTTAACTTTAAAAATCAGAAGGTCAATTAAAATACGCCACCTTAACGATTTATTTAAAATAAAAGGGTTTAAAATAAAGTATTAAGGTGGTCATTTTTAAGTGAGTGTAACGAACTCTGATGGAATTCGAACTTCGCTCACCGACTCCTCCTACCTGGCAGCTATACATTACACCACCGCACATCCGATTAATGTTTAAAAGAATAAGAAGTTGAGGAGAGCTACAATCTCGCACGTTCTGAAGAGATACTGCTCATAAATGACGACATTTGAAATTCCCAAGTGAAATATTTCTACATGATTCGAAGCTCCACAGGTGGGAATGACTGTTACGTAAATTGGGTCAATTCATCGACATTTATTTCGTATTCCATTCGTAAGGAAGAAGTTCCAGTCAGGCAGCTTCTTCCCCACAACTGTAACTTTGAGGATGCTTTCTCGATTACTACAATATTGACCTCTTAAAAACCAGCCGTTATTGATTAATACATATCTTAATAATAACCAGTTTTTACTTCTTATATTTACGCCTTCACAATAACCTCATCTCATAATACTCTACCTTGAGTGGCTCTTTGGCCTTTGGTGAACAATAGTAAAAGGAAAATTGTTTTGGATTTTTTGAATTATTAGAAGTCATTTTAAATCTATTTTCTTTATAGTTCAAGTAAAAACTTGTGAAAAACAAAATTAAACAGAAAAGATTAAGTTGTCCGAATTTCTTTAGGATAGTCATTAATAAATTAAGATAATCTTTCTTTCATCTGATCGGATTAAAGATTACACTGGTCAACAAAAAAAATCATTTTGAAATGGTGTCGTGACACCAAACATCTTTTTTTTAGCTAATTTGAGAGCGCTGAATCTGAAAATGAGCTTATTTTTTATTGGTTTGCTACTGTTTTTGCTGTTCAGAAATACGTCATTTTTGGAAAAAAATGTATTTTTTTCATTTGTTTTCCGTATATATGATACTGACTGATGAGAATATTTCTCAAAATAAAATCATAGAAACCTCTCAATATTTTTGCAATAACACTCAGACCCTAAGTCTTTTAAAATAACACGATTGAATATACCAAGACCAACAAGTATTTTCATCAAATCATTTAATATACTAACAGCAGAAATAAAACCTTCGTGGACATAAGGACTATGGTAAATATTTTCTCTTTGAACATAAGAACTATGGTAAAAATATTCTCTTTCTTGATTGTCTGTCATGTTCAATGTTATTTAAGTCCCTTTTGATACTCCAGCAGTATCATGTACAATGGAATAGGTGCATTCAATTGTGATGTCTTTAGTTGGAGTTTCTTTCCAACTGTGAAAACAAAATGCTCTCAATGTGCTTGGTTTCCTTCCGTAGTGAAGGGATAAAAGGGTTTCATTTTTTTTATGTCACCTTAATTATCAGGTTTACTAAAGTATATTATTGATAAAGTTCATCAGTTGATTTGAATTTGGGCGATAAATTGGAAAACTTAGGTAGATCTATTTCAATGATTTTTTATTGAAAAATACTTTTTTCTTAAAAAAAATAGTTTATCTAATGTGGCTGACATAAATTGCTCGACCTACCTGAAAATTGATGGAGTTCTAAAACTTTTATGAAATAAATTTTGTGATCAGCCAAGATCGTAAATTGATCTTTTTTACAAAAATGAGCAATTTCAGTACAGCAAAAACGGTAGCTAACAATGAAAAACTAACGTCATTTTCGGAATCAGCGCCATCAAATTAGCTAAAAATATGTTTTGTTTTTTCGCACCAAAAATCATGTTATCTTATCTTTTTGAGGGTGTTAACTATAATGGCTCTCTGAAGATTTCTATCTTGCGTGTTGGCAATAAAACATGTTTAATTATTCCCCCTCGATCCTCGTTCTCTTTTTGGCACAGGTCTTTCAACCTCTTTGCTCAAACTTGTCACGATGCTTACCCAGCTGACTACAGGAAATGATGTAAATGTAGAACGGATTTAGCTCGTAGGAAGCATGTGAGATTCATTTTTTGGTGACGAACGAAAAACAAAATCATAGGAAATAAAAACGAAAATTGAGAACATTGGTGATGAAGCTAAACTTCGTTCAATAATAGTGTGAAGTCGCCAGTCACGGACCTATTATTAGCAAGCCTATCACGTTACAACTCTCTCTCTCTCTCTCTCTTACCCCTCTCTCTCTCCCTCACACAACCTGATAATTAAGGTGACATAAAAAATGAAACCCTAAAATCTTCTGTTTGATATTCATAAATTTATTCCGTCAATATTATCCCTTCACTATGGAAGGAAACCAAGCACATTGGGAGCATTTTGTTTTCACAGTTGGAAAGAAACTCCAACTAAAGACATCCCAATTGAATGCACCTATTCCATTGTACATGATACTGCTGGAGTATCAAAAGGGGCTTAAATAACATTGAACATGACAGACAATCAAGAAAGAGAAAATATTTACCATAGTTCTTATGTTTATGAAGCTTTTATTTCTGCTGTTAGTATATTAAATGATTTGATGAAAATACTTGTCGGTCTTGGTATATTCAATCGTGTTATTTTTAAAGACTTAGGATCTGATTGTTATTGCAAAAATAGTATTTCTCAAGAAACAGACCAGTATTTGTTGGTTTAAATACGAATTGAGAGGTTTCTACGATTTTATTTTGAAAAATATTGCTTTCGGTCAATATATATACAGAAAAAAATTTTTTTCCCAAAATTGAAGCATTTGTATACAGCAAAAACGGTAGCTAACCAAGAAAAATTAAGGTCATTTTCATATTCAGCGCTTTCAAATTAGCTAAAAAAATGGTTGGTGTCTCGACACTATTTCATTTTCTTTTTTCTTTTTTTGTCCAATGTAATACAGCGTGTGGTCGACAGTCGCAGAGCTATTATTAGCAAGCCTGTCACATTACAACACACACACACACTATCTCTCTCTCTCTCTCTCTTTCACATTCTCTCTCACTCTTTCTCTCTCTTCCCTCTCATGTGACATGAAATGGGATAATTATATTGAATCAGTTGCTAGGTCTGCCTTTTTAAATATCAGCTCACTATGTTGTGTCAGACAAAATTTCTAGCCAGGATCTATCTGTCACATGTGGTACATTTGATAACGAACTGTTCACTCCGACATCAAGTGTATTATATCGTTGTTCTATGTCATGATACAGGGCTTACTTGTCTCAGTGATCCCAAGACCGAAGCATTCTGGAGTTTCAACTCCTGCAGGGCCACCCATAGCTGTAAGGTCGGAGAGGAAAGACCAGACTGGATACGATCAACCCTCGAAGACTTCTAAATCAAATTCACGCGAATGGCCTCATCAAAATCTCTTTGATTCGCAGCCAACTCCGCCACAGCTAACCGGGACGTCAGAAAGGGCATAGGAAGGGAAGATGACGATATCGATGCTCGGGTACGAGTGGATGCCGGCAAAGTCTGTCATTTGTCCGTGCATCGAATATTTCTGCCACTTCTTGTCCGGTGCTTCTACTATGATATCTAGAGATATTTGATAAAATCCAAAAAAATCATCTGCAATGTTATCAGTCCTGACCTGATATCTCGACTTCAGTTACTTTCACAACGCCGTAGCGTAGCTTTTCTATAAATATTGTAGAAGTCAAGTGACTTACCTGCTAACATGGCTGCCTTCTTGTGTCTTCGGGGAAAAGAAGGCCAACTAATTTTACCTCATTTATAGGAGAGTACCTAATGCACCAGTTAGGTTGGTCCATTTTGCCAGAATGGACCTGCCCAACATATTTGCATGAGTGGTCTCTATTCAGCCATATATCTTTTATTATCTTTTTGTGATTACCTTCCCTCTTTAGTACATCGCCAAATATTAAATTAGCAGTTAGGTCTCATCATTTTACTGACGGCATTACTAGTTGTAACCGTAAGTTCTATGGCAATAGTTTCTTCTTCTGACCTTCTCGCTTGTGGCACACCCTTTTAGCTTGCTTTTTTTTCACCCTCAAAAAGCACATTATAACACATACTATAAAATCAATGACGTCTTAATGTCGAGTGATGATTGGTGAGCTAGTCAGGTTGAACATTAATAATGAATTAGATTTGTACTAAGTTTCTTATACGTGTCACCTTGCGCTAAATCAAGGTTAAGTAAATGATCACTGTCTAGACTTACGGCGTTCAGGATTTTGTTTTTCGAGAATATGATCTGCACACCCAATTTTAAAAATAGAAAAAAAATAAAACATCTACCCTACCTCATTAAGACTCTGCGGGCCTTCTTCGTCAAGTAAGTTACACATCGATTCATATACACGACACTTCCGGTTGTTTAAAAAGTATTTTTCTTCGTCTGGAATGCACAGACTATATCTTAGATCGGGGTTGGAGCTGCCAAAATAGAATAAGAAAACAATAAAATAGTAATCGATAATAATCAGCCCTGTAAGAAGAAACGAGGTGTGGCTATCAAATGACGAAATTGAGCAGACGTTAAGTTAAACCACAACACGCATGCGCGCACGATATTGACCATAAACAAAGCTCCGAATGTTTGAATCTGTTTTACATCTTCATTTCGTTGATACGCATCGCTCGAGGAAGACATGTTTATTTTTTTTTTCTGACATCTCGTAAAAATAGTCAGTTCACAATCGAACCACGCATTCAGTTAGTCAAGTGCCAAAGGTGACATACACTTGCGCGATTATGTCTCTTTCCATAGGCAGAAATTTTTCCCTAGGCATAAAAATTTTCTCACAGTAGGCTGCCGTTTCTTTTTGCGACAGTCTGGTGCACCAAACAAAGCTATAGGATCCAGTATGTCCTTCTATATATGGGGGAGTAGAGATTATTTGCACGTAAGTGAATGTAACGAACCCGACTAGAAATCGAACTCGGCTCTCCGATTTCTCATCCGAACCGTTGCCCATTACACCACATCGCGCACAGAACAATACGTCAATGCTGAAATTATCTTTTTAAGGTGCGACTAGTGTGTGGGTCTGTGGCACGGAAAGGTAACTTAGTTTAAATTCCGGCCTCATCTATTGCATTCACTTTCGCACTAATGTCTCTACCAATGATCGAGCCTTGAGTGGCAGCCAGTATAGGAGATGGACTATGAATTTAAACTGTGAAAGCACTCCACAAAATATCCCTAGAAATCATACCAATTCATTCCCCCCAGCTCTGAATTAAACAGCTAGTTAGACTAGACTGTCTAGCCTTGGGTGCTAGACAGTCTAGGGTATAAACTACTCAGTAGTCAAACCGTGGAGAAGGAAAAGAAAACCACTTCACTATCTTTCCCGATAAGCTATGGCAATTCACACATATTCAAGAAGAAGCAGCTGTGAAAGAGAGATTTCATGAAAAGACGTCGCCGCCTAACAGCTCACGTAGACCATGAGGGTTGTTGGGGCAAATGTATTGCAGGTATGGCAGCCCTGATGTGTCTAGAGCGAGATAGCCTGAAGGAGCCCTTCTTTCCTCAGGTTGGTTTCAAATTCAGTTTTTTCTTCTCCTAGACTGGTTATCAGCCAAGGCAAGTGAGTGCGGTCTGCCCTGGTTAACCATTATCTTACGCTGAGGTGCTTGTTATTCGATAGCTGGGGGTGGCGAGCTTTGGCGAATGGGAGCGTAAAGAACTCGACCAATATTTGAACTCGGCTCGAGGATTTCTCTTACCGAGTCTCTCAGAACTGCGATCAAGGCACAAGCGTAAGTTCTATTCTGATAGTTTCTTCTCTTGCACTTCTCGCCTGTGGAACTTTCGAAAACAGAGAAAACCCGGTTCGAACCGGTAAAGATTTATCCTTGTCAATCCACTGCCTTTAGCATTGAACCACTGCCTCCCTTTGTAGGAGAAACCGAACGCTGATTCGATGTCCTTTACACCGTTCGCCTACGGAGAGCTTACATGATCAGTCGGTGATTTCTCCTATAAAGAGGGTCCTAGGTTCGAATCTTGCTATAAAGAATATCGCCTTTATTAAGTCTCTCACATGTGCAGGGTGTCTACTCAAACATGTGTATCCGCAAAATAATGTTTGGAGAAATTGGATATAATGTCGGATCTATTAATTAACAATTAATAGATCCGATTAATTAATTTCTATTAATCTATTAATTGTTTACAAATTACTTTGTTTACATATGGAAAGAGAAGGGAGATCACCGTCCCCTGTGGGATCATGTTGAGATCATAGACAGGGAACACCATTGGAAAATTCGTAAACTTAAGGAATCAGCACATATGCTAGGCCACAAAAATCTCCTGAGCCGACCAAGCATAGAAATAAATACAATATGGGAACCAGTAATAAGGAGTGCCAGAGAAAAGCAATGATAACAAAGTTGCAATATGAGCTCTGGTAAAAACATGTAATGATAACAGCAAAATTGCAATATGAAAACTGGTAAAAAATGATTGCTGAAAACATTAGGTTTATAATATCCAGAAATTCATACCCAGATGTCCTCAAGGACACATGGCACAGTGGATAAAGGCGTTGATTAGATCCAGTGACAGACCCAAAGAGTTCAATACCCGGTTATGGTGGAGAACTTTCAGAGGGAAAATTAGCAGGAGATAACTGATAACTGACATCCATCAAACATGGTACATGGCACGTGGAACTAGAACAGTCTACCCCAGTGATCGAAATAAAGGGTTCAGTTCGAAATTCCAACCACCCGAAGAAGCCGGAGCGTACAACGGCCGAAACGTTGTGACAAATATGGCGACAAAGATGAGGACAATAGACTAATGTAAATACTGTACTTTGTTTACGTTTCAGATACGAAAACGAGCATAGAGTGCATTGTTAAAAAAAACGTCATGTCAAAATAAACAGAAGAAATCTAAATCTGTTTACTTACTTGTATTCAAGTTTTATTTCAATCCTGAGTTTTGTTTTCTGCAAAAATAAAAAATATATATATATATCGAGATTCAGAACTGAAATTCCAAAGAAAGCATTCTACAAAACGTAAGTGAAATCGTATAAATGTTATCTAAAAGACCAATCTCTGCTTTCCATCAGTATGGCTCATGCTAACCCCCAGAAGATTAACTCGTTGCGACTTCTTGGGCTAATGTTCTCTGCTGACATGAAATGCAAAGATTATATTGAATCAATCGATAGATCTACTGCTAGGAAAATTGGTTCACTCTGTCGTGATAGACAATTTTTCTCTGCAGAATCTGTTACATATTTATTCAATGAAAATAACGTTTAAAGTGATAAAATTTGTCGTATTACTAAATAAAAAATCCATTAACATCTATATATATATATATATATATATGTGTGTGTGTGTGTGTGTGTGTGTGTGTGTGTGTGTGCGTGTGTGTATTTATTATTATTATTATTATTATTATTAAAGATTTTAATAATAAATATAGTATTGTTCTTTCTTACATATCCAAATAAGAAAAAGAAAAGATGGAGTAAAATTCCACTGTTCGTAGAATTTACTTTTAAAAATGTGCTTAATATAATGTAGAGCAATATATTATTACTATTTTTATTATTATAATCTTTTATAATAATAATAATAATATATGCAAGGTGTTCATAAAGTTCGTGTGCACTTTAAAAAATTTATAGCTTTATTTGTATTTGCGATAGAAATAGTCTGTAAAAATGTTATAAAGTTTAATGTACCTAGTTTTAAGTATAGCTAAAATAACTAATGTGATTTCAGGCATTACTGTAAATCAGTTGGCAAATGTTTTCCGTGAACTGCAAAATCGTATTACCCTTTATATTGCTAATGATAGAGGACATGTGAAAACTTAAATAAAATTTCAATAAAACCTTCAAAAAATATAAATTTACTTCTTTCTAATCCTTTTTACAAATTATTTCTATCGCAAATACAAATAAAGTTATAAATTTTTAAAGTGCACACGAACCTTATGGACACCTTGTATTAATTTTTTTTTTTTTATTATTAGCAATACGACAGATTTTATCACGTTGAACGTTATTCTCTATATTCTATCTATATGTTATATATTCTATCTGTGTTCTATATATTTTATCTATATTCGATATATATATATATATATATATATATATATATATATATATCATAAGGATGTGGATGCTAAACTCATAAATATTTTCACGTATTATGTTTGTAAAAAGATTGTTCAACGAAGGAAACCAAGGAAAGAAGATATCGTCATGAAAAAAAAACGGCTAATTGCCTACCTCATTAAATGTAAGTGTCCTTTTCTGCAATTTGTCGTATTCTAGTTCATGACAGTTGATAATTTCTGTGCCCAAAACTTGGTCACTGGTGTAATTTGCCTCCATTAAAGAGATTTCTGAAAATACAAAATCATCGTCAACGTTTCAACAGAAAAAGTATAATAAACTTCACCGAAAAAGAGACTTCATTTTACATTCTATTTGTTAGTGACTAAGGTTAGCTTACATCTGTGGATGTGCAGGTGAAATAATGAAGAGAAGGTCGAAGTGAAAAATTAAACAGTAGTGACCGGTTATTTGTGTACAACCTTCCAATATATAACCAACTCTCCATATGTTACATCCCCGATCACTACAATCTGAACTTGTTCAAGTCTATGGTTAAGCGTTATCTTCACTACATATCCGCATAAACTGTGCCTTTTCCTCTGTAAAACTGTACCTCGAGGTAGAACAAAATGACTCCCTAGAGGATGCTTCTCCAGTCAATACAATCTTAACCTGTTCAAGTCTAGGATTAACAGTTTTCTTCACCACATATTCTTATAAACCCTGCCTCTTACTCTGTAACCCTCAACCTCGATGTAGAAAAAAAGTAACTCCGAAGAGGATGCTTCCCCGATCACTATAATCTTAACCTGCTCAAGTCTAGGATCAACAATTATCTTCCTCATATATCCGCATGAACTCTCCCTCTTACTCTGTAAAACTCTACCTGGAGGCTGACTCTCAAGAGTATACTTCCCCGATTACTACAATCTTAACTCAAGTCTAGGGTGAACCATTATCTTCCCCACATATCCGCCTAAACTGAGCCTCTTACTCTGTAACCCTCTACCTCGAAGTAGAACAAACAGACTCCCAAGAGGATGCTTCCCCAATCACTACAATCTTAACCTGTTCAAGTCTAGGGTCAACCGTTGTCTTCTACGCATAACAGCATCTGTGACTCTTACTCTGTATTCCTCTACCTCGAGAGGTCTCGAGCCTTGTACAGAGTGAACAACACTGTAAAACAAAAATCATTGTATTACTTATAATTTCATTATAACTTGTTGTGGATTTCGAGCTGAAATCCGGTCTCCAATGAATGACAAACGCAGGAATAAAATATAACAAATAAATGTATTTACACAATAATACAATTGGTAATACGGTTAGTAGATCCAGAAACGCGGTTAGTAACAATATATATATATATATATATATATATATATATATATATACACAGTCTTGTAAATCCAGTCTCGAAGTAGGATTCCTTAGAGTCTACGTGCTTGTAACTGTGACTTCTACAAGCGGTTACCTCACACTATTACTTTACCTCCAACTCAATCACAATCACTGCTCTGACTCCTCTGACTGACACTTGGTATTTAACGCCAGCAGTCCAAGTACATACTGGTCGAGTCCACTTGTATGAAAAAGGGGTGGACCCCATAACACTTTTCTTCAAAATGGGCACCTTGTGGTGAGGTTAATGGTAAACGATCTGTTGAAAAGTGGGTTCGAGTCTCACTAGTGCGAAATACAAGTTCAAATTACAGTCGAGTTGGTAACATTCACACAGGCGCAAATACTCTTGGAAAATATATGAACCCTCTCTTCTCTTCTCTTCTCCAGCTATGGGTTAAATAGTAGGACTTGTATCTGAAAAAATCTCCCAAAATTTTTTATGCAAGATTCGCTCGCAAAAAAAGGGTATTATTCGTCAAATTCAAAATATTATTAAGCGACTCATAAAGGGTGATAAACCGTAAAAACAAATCAATCACCCAATAGCTTTCATTAGCGAAAAGACAAAACTATGTGTAACCTAGTGTAATTCTTACTTGCTATTTAGATGTAACACACTAGCTAGACTGGCTCATTAACCATTACATCACATCGAAATATTATGTTCTCACTCATTAAGCCTTGCTTAGTTTGGAACAAGGCCATAAGTTCTTTTACCCAGAGGGCTTCCAGTATGGGACACCTACTTAGTGTTAGAACTTATTATTCAGTTTTAATGATCAACCACACTAACTCGTTAACCATTACTCTATGTCGAAGCGTTTTTTGTTAATTACCAAGTTTAGTTTACTTTAGTTTTCCGCAAAGCCCCAAGAATATTCTGTAACGTAATCGAACCTGACTAGGCATCTCGACATCGGCAACTTTCCTACCGACGTGATAGAAACATTTTGTTAGGTCAGCTTCGAAAATGACTTTTGCTGAGCAGAGATTGTTTTAAAGTTATGAAAGCAGAAAAGAAGAAACATTGTCTACGTAAATAATAGTTGAAAATGTAACCAAAGCTACCACAGAGCCATTATTATTGTTACATTTTCCTTTTTACCCGAATTTGCTGTGTCACTGTGTATGTAATAATAGACTTGATTGAAAGTTTCAAGTAATGGTTTTAAAAATCAACACTATTAATAGCTGAAATGGCTCGTTAGAACAATTACGACTGAGGAGTGAGTTCGATCCTCACTGGATGCCCCATAATTTCGGCCTTGTGCCATATCTAAGCTACGCTTGGAAAATCACTATTAATATCTGGAATGAAAAGTTTGAAGGATTCATTTACAGTATTTACATTAGTCGTACTATTGTCCTCATCTTTGTCGCCATATTTAAGGCAGTGGAGAACTTTCAGAGGGAAAATTAGCAGGAGATAACTGATAACTGACATCCATCAAACATGGCACGTGGAACTAGAACAGTCTACCCCAGTGATCGAAATAAAGGGTTCAGTTCGAAATTCCAACCACCTGAAGAAGGCCGGAGCGTACAACGGCCGAAACGTTGTGACAAATATGACGACAAAGATAAGGACAATAGTCCGTTTAATGTAAATAGTGTACATAATACCTCATCTCAGAAATATAGACAAATACTGAAAGGCCGAATCGTTGTAATAAATATGGCAACAAAGATGAGGATAATAGTCCGAATAATGTAAATAGTGCACATAATACCTCATCTCAGAAATATAGACAGATACTGAAAGCCCGAATCGCTGTAATAAATATAGCAACAAAGATGAAGACAATTGTCCGAATAATGTAAATAGTGTACATAATACCTCATCTGAGAAATATAGACAGATACTGAAGGGCCAAAACGTTGTAATAAATATAGCAACAAAGATGAGAACAATAGTCCGAATAATGTAAATAGTGTACATAATACCTCATCTCAGAAATATAGACAGACTTTGAAGGATTCATATAAGAAGTCTTGGCCATTGTATATAAAACCATTACAGGGAATGAAAGTTCTGACGTATTTTTCAAATAAATCCAGCCCAGTATATACACCCTTGTGCAAATTAATTTAAACAGCCACTTTAGTTTCCTTTCTTTCACCATACGGTCAGTTTTAGACCCACTGGACTGACAGAGTGTTATCTATTTCTATTTTTCTTCAGATTAGGTCATTCGCAGTGGTGGGTAGTAAAATAAATCAATTTTCGGGTCTATGATAAAAAAATATCAAAAAATATTGCGTCATCTTTGATGGTTTGTATCAGACTTTTATCACGCCCAGACACTATACTCTCGACTGTCGATTAGTTGTCCTACGACCATTGTCTGCGATGGGCGTTACTCCAAGAAAGGGTATGAAAATTGTAACGCTGCACGAACAAACTGACAAGCCTGACTAGACTGGCCCGGAAAGTCTCCTGATTTAAATCCAATCGAGAATCTGTGGCCAATCTGTAAGGAACGACTTCGTGGAATGGACATACGAAGTACTAACTTGAGCACTGGGTCATGTTTCAATGGAAAAATACGAAAAAAAGTAAATAATAATGGAATTACAGTGTAACCCGGATATAAGAGACCCGGATATAAGAGAGATTTTCTCTGGTCCCAAATTAGAGCCTGTGTTAATGTATATAAAATAGACCAAAGCCGGATATAAGAGAAACCCGGATATAAGAGACTTCTTATCCGGTCCCGACAACCCTCTTATATCCGGGTTACACTGTATTCGTTTTGTTTCAATTAATTTGCACAAGGATGTAGATAATCATTACAGGGAATAAAAGTTTTGACGGATTTGTTTAATAAATCCGATCTTTTACATATGTAGTCATTAGAGGGAATGTTTTGTCGCACTTGTTAAATCTTTGACGTTATATATGCAATCATTAGAGGGAATTAAGGTTTTGACGTAGTTTTTAAATAAACACTTGTTTTTATATATGTAAACACCCGAGGAAATGCATGTGTTGAAGTATTTTTTAATAAATCTTAGGTTTTACAATGATTTTCTAAGCTTAGCTTAGATGTGACACATGTCCGAAAATATAAGGCATCCAGTGAGGATCGAACTCACTTTTCAATTGTAATTGATTTAGCGAAACAAACTTGATAACCATTACACCACGTCGAAGAGCCCAAATTAGGAAAAAAGATTTTAGGCTTCTTGTATATAATCTTTAATGTGAGTGTTTGGACATAGGCAATTTAGAAAATCTCTTCGTCGTATCATAGGTCAAATACAACATGACTAATCTTTCCATATATAAACTAAATTGGGCGTAGGTGAGGTTTTAAATCACGCACTCTTTTTGATTTTGATATTTACGAAGCCTCATATGTTGTTGGGGTATCATATAACCCAATACAATCTGTCACATTATATCGGTCATGTTGTCTATCCCACCGAAAAATGAGAAAGTCCATGGTGATAAAAAAATATTTAGGCTATCAGATTAAATGGGAAGAAAATAATTCGAGATCGATGTTCTCTTTCCGCCTCAAAGCGCTACCTTGAAAATCAGCATCTCCATTCCTACTTTTCACCTGTGTTCGAACACAGCGATTTAGTATCGTAGGTAAAAGATGCAACCAACTTCGCCAGGAGTGGCAAGAGTGTATCAAATCTATAAAATATTTTTCTTTTTTCTGTCTTATTTTAAGCGTATTTCCACCAATAACTGCGGTTTTGTTAACAGAATCCCACGTGGATGCTTTTCTGATAATTTCTTGATCCCTTCAAGTTAAGGGTTAATCTTTATCTGTCGACTGTATCCTTATATTCTTCATTTCCAATCACCAAGATATTTCATTCATATCACATCCCACAGTCGTCATAATCATTTTACTAGTTGCACTCTACTTTGAGTGATTCCCGAGCCTTAAATTGGGTGAACTTTAATAGTGATTTTCCAAGTGTAGCTTAGATGTGGCACAAGGTCGAAATTATTGGGCACCGATTGAGGATCGAATTCACTACTCAGTCGTAATTGTTCTAGCGAGACAAGCTTGCTAACCATTACACCGCCTCGGGGTGCCCGAAGCTTTTTAGATGTGGCACACGGCCGAAAGTATGGGGCACCCATGGAGGATCGAACTCACTCTTCAGTCGTAATTGTTCTAGCGTGACAAGCTTGCTAACCATTACACCGCCCAGGTGAACTTTAATATAGAGAAAAATAGTTTTCTAGATAATCATTAAGTTTAGCTAAAATGAGGTGTTAGGACAATATTTCTCCCCCTCCCTCTCTCTCTCTCTCACTCCCTCTCTCTTTCTCTCTCATTCTTTCTACCTCTCCCTTTCTCCCTCCTTCTCCCTTTCTCCTCTCTCCCCCTCTCTCTCCCTCTCTCTGGTGTGAAAGAATTAAGAGCAGAAATATTAATAACGAGCGGGAAGAAAAAAGACTAATTAGGAGGACAATAGATAGCAATTGACATTGCATTTAAAAATTTTTGCAGATTAAAGTTGGCTTGAAAGCATGGAATTTACGGTTACATCTAGCCAGGTCAAATGTAAATGAGTGACATCTTCACGCCAGTCTAGTAATGCGCTTAAATTTAAAATGTCTAGGAATCAAAGCGAAGATTTCATCTGAACAATTACCGTGAAAATATTTATAGAAGAGGGATAGTGGAGTTATAGATAGCGGCTCGGATTGAGGAATCGTAGAGCCGAGTTCGAATTCCAGTCGAATCCATTACATTCACTTATATGCTTTTATCCTTGGTAAAGGTATGAATCCTCTTCTAACCCCCCCCCCACCGGCTATAGGTGAATGTTACCAATATTTGCTTATTCTACGTACGTTTATATACGTTATAAATTAAAGTAAGCACAGAGGAATCGGAGAGCCGAGTTCAAATTCCAGTCGAATCCATTACATTCACTTACGTGCTAATACCCTTGGGAAAGGTATGAATCTTGTTATTCTCCACCCCCCCCCCCAGACTGGGTTCTATAGCTTTGGATTGCAACTAAAAAAAAAAAATCGGGGAAAAAAAAATCTGCCTCGTCTGTCATGTATATACATAAAAGCATGTATATATAATCGCCTAAACGGGTATCACATAACTGGCTTACAAGGCGGGGGGAAAACTGACTGAAGCCGAAAGACCAGATCATTCCATCTTAAATAAAGCAACAATGCTTTGCGGCAATTTTTAACATCAACGTGAGATTTTCTTGTTAAAAAATTCAATAATTTTAATACATTCAACATTATGGTTAAAAATTAGTGTATGTTCTATAGCTTTTTTTTTATTATTATTTCGACATGATTAAAACAAATTCACTTATATGAACGAAAAAAAAACGAACGACGTCAAATCCTTCAATAGTGAATAGTGCTATATTCAGTTATGTGTCATGCATGATACACGCTTAGGCGATCAGGTATCTTTCGATACCCGGTCTGTCCTGCTATTTTCTCCATAGCTCGGAGTGGGGAGAAGAAGAGGATTCATACTTTCCTCAAGGGTATTAGCACGTAAGTGAATATAATGGATTCGACTGAAATTCAAATTTGGCTCTCCGATTTAGCTATGTGCCATGTCTAATACACACTTAGGCGATCATGTATCTTTCGATACATGACTCATGAGGCAGATATTTTCCCCCGCAGTAGGTTGCCATTTCTTTCTGCGGTAGACCAGTTTGCCATCCAAGGCTATAGAAGCCGGTCTGTCCTGCTATTTACCCATAGCTGGGGGGAGAATAACTGGATTCATACCTTTCCCAAGCGTATTAGCACGTAAGTGAATGCAATGGATTCGACTGGAATTCGAACTCGGCACTCGGATTCCTCAGTGTTTACTTTAATTTATAACGTATATAAATGTACGTAGAATAAGCAAATGTTAGTAAGATAGCGAAAGTCAAAAAGCAGTTCCCGGGATCTCCAGTTAGGTGTACTAACCCGGGCGGGCCTCATATCGATTTAACTCTTTCGGTGAAGCCAATTTTCCTGCAAATGACATTCGCTGTTCCGATTACTTCCCAGATGCTTTTTGCCCTTATTTTTCCTATTTTGGCATTTTGTTGCACGAAACATGTTTTCAAAATATCAACAACGAGCGATTATAATCAAAAACAAATTTCCCAAGCGCAAAAGCTAAATAATGATCTTTGAAATGTTGGTCTCCTTTCATTGAAATCTAACACAGGTTAATCAAATTATGATCATTATTTGAGTTTTCGGTTACGAGTTAAATTGGAGCTTGCTCCTCGAATAGATGGACGGTCATTAACAAGTATCATTATCCTTCATGCTGACTTACCCAATTTACATTCCAATCTGGGATCATGTAGAAATGTGAACGACTCGTTCCAGTTCGGGTTCGTGTCGTTGTCTATCGTTCGCGTTCGTTTCTTTCCGTCGGGGGCCGTTCGAATTCGTAACTCGATGTATGGATCTGGTGTGTCGACTGTAAAAAGAGATATCAAATAAATACAAAAAACAATTCAATCTGTTTTGTATTATTTCTGCATCATTCTATAATATCTTAATAGCATTTTCAATACACACACACACATATGTATATATACATACATATATATATACAAACATATATAAATATATATATGTACATACATATATAAATATACATACATATATATATACATGCATATATATATACATATACATACGTATATACATATACATACATATATATACATATACATACATATATATATATATATATATATATATATATATATATATATATATACATATACATACATATATATATATATATATATATATATACATATACATACATATATATACATATATATACATATACATACATATATATATATACATATACATACATTTATACACGTTTCATTAAATAATATAGACAAGTGTTGTCTATTTATTTTATGTAAAATTTGTTCGTAACTTCTGATAAGTTTGATAACATTATCATTAAACGAAGAAAGAAATTCACAATATTGATCCATATTTTTTTAATATAATCTAAGCTTTCGGCTTACTTAAGCCATTATCAAAGATGTAAATCACAAACATATTAAACAATATACGGACACGACAGTGATGATAGTCTGTCATTGTTTACATAGTGGATCATTAAGCAACGATGAACACGCGCATATAAGACGCCAGAAGCATCCCACGACGTCACACATGACCACACGAGAGTGAATTGTAGAATGAAGTAAGGAAAGCCGTTGGTATAAACCAATGGCTTCTGTCACCAATTATAGACATTTAAGAACATCTGCAGACATGCCATAATTGATTTTGTTTAGGTTGAGTTTTAACTGTTTGATGTATAATGCTTCAAGTATCCTTAGTTTCTGTCTATTGTTTTCATGTCGAAGTATAGTTGTGTTTTCGACAAGTATTTTACGGAATTGTGTGTGCGGGCAGGCATGTTGTTTTAAATGCCTAAAAATGTTAGAGTTTTCATTAAAATGTAGTGTCAAGCGTCGTGAAAGCGAGCTTGTGGTGTGACCAACACAAACATTATTTAATTCGTTGGAGATACACTCTCCCAAAGGGCACTTGAACCTATAAACTATGTTGGTTTTTTGCAAATCGCTAACCGGGGGAGAAGAATCATTGCGAAGTATTAAGTTGGATATACTAGATTTAGTGTAGTATATGATTAATTTAATCTCTTTGCTAGGATCTGTAGTTGATATATTAGAATTTACTAAATTTTTTAGTATGTTTTCATCTTGTTTATAATTAGTATGCATTTGATTACGATATAGGAGATTAATATATTTGAGATCAGTAGAAGCATTATTATGTACAATTTGCTTATTATTGAGACCTCCAAGAAAGCATCTTATTTGTTCATCAACTATATAGTTTGGAAAGCTATTATTAATAAGTGTCTGTTTTATATTCTTTAGATCACTGTAAAAAACCTGTTTTGTGGATGAATTAGTTTCTGCACGATGTATTAGATTCTTTATAATTGCTATTTTGTAGTAATATGGGCATTCGCTCTTGTAGTTAAGTGTACATGAATTTATGCTTGTAGGTTTTTTGTATGGCGAAATAGTAAATTTGTTATTATTTGTGTTTATCAATATGCCAAGGAAGGGGATCCCACTATTAGTATTGAGTTCATATGTGAATTCAAGGACAGAATTATTTTGGAACCGTTTTTGAAGTTGAATTATTTCATCTGTATTTTTAACTAACATAAGAATATCATCAACGTATCTTAGGTAGATTGATGGTTTTTTAAAATCTGTAAATAACTTATTTTCGAGGTTCGACATGTAGAAATTGCTAAATGTCGGGCCCAATACTGAACCCATGGAGACACCATCACGTTGTATATATATATATTGTTATTATGATCGAAGAAAGGGACTTCAGCAGTACAAGTTAATAGTAGCCCTCCTAATATATTAGTATTAATTTCAAGTGGGGGTAAAGATGAGTTACTGTACACATCTTCTACGATTATGTCAATAGTTTCACTAACAGGGACATTGGTAAATAAGTTTCCAACATCAAGTGAAGCGATGATTTCATTGTCAGGTTTTTCACCCTTTAGGATTTGGATTACCTCTAATGATGACTTAACACTATATTTACTAGGAAGATAGAGAGTAATAAGTTGGTTGATGTATTTTGTTAGATGATATACAGGAGTTGGAATTTGCGATATGATAGAACGGAGAGGATAGTTATGTTTATGTGTTTTTATAGTGCCATATATGTAGCCAGGTCTACAATCACCAACAATTTTAGGGAGTTTTAAAGAGTTCTGTTGAGCATTATTAGCATTAATAAGTTTATTAAACTTTGATTTTAGTTGGTTGGTCGGGTTCTTGTTAAGTTTTTTAAACTTTATGTGATCATGGAGTAGGTGGTCTAGTTTTTTGTTGTAATCCAAATTGTTTAGGATGACAAAAATGTTGGTCTTATCAGCTTTTTTTACAATAATGTCAGGGTGGTTACGTAGTTCTTGTGCGGCAATTTTCAGTTGTTTAGAAAGAATTTTTGAGGAGTTTCTGCTTTTATCATGCCGATCTTTAAATTCTGGTGTAGTTTCTATTATTTGTTCATCCTGGAGTTTAACAATGTTTTGGTATCGGGTCTCAATTTCTATTTTTTTAAAAACATACATATATATATATATACATATACATACATATATATACATACACATACATACATATATATACATATACATACACATATATACATACATATATATACATATATATACATATACATATATATATATACATGCATATATATATATACATACATATATACATACAATACATACATATATAAATATATATATGTACATACATATATAAATATATACATGTATATATACATATACATACATATATATATATATATACATATATATATATATACATACATATATATATATATATATATACATATATATACATATAGCGATATATATATACATACATATATATACATACATATATACATACATATATATATATATACATATATATATATACATATATATATATATACATACATATATATATATATATATATATATATATATATATATATTCACATATATATATATATATATATACATATATATATATATATATACATATATATACATATACATACATATATATATATATATATATATATATATATATATATATATATATATATATATATATATATATACATATATATATATATATATATATATATATATATATATATATATATATATATATATATATATATTAAATATATTTGATTTTTGCCGTTGGTACAAAAGCTTATTAAGGCATTAAAAACAAGAAATTTTATATTGCAGGCCATGATAAATTTAAAACAAAACACACACCAGTCGACCGGTTTCGTCCACTCTCATCAGAACTGTAAACGGGGAACTAAAATTATGAGGAAAAGAAAAACAAAATGTCTGTCATGGATGACATGAATGAGTGGACAGGGAGAAAAAAATTATATAAAAAAAATCATACCAACCAAGATGCTAGAAGCGCAGCACAGCCAGTCCAAGCAAACAATTTCTTTGTTTACAAAGAGCAGGTTGCATGGACCTGATGTAAAGCGACTCCAACACCTTAAGATGGAAAAGTGAGTGCGAACTTGCCAAAACGGAAAACCAGTTCACACTGAAATCCATCGCACAAGTTGGATTCTTTATAAAGTGATCCGCAATCGAACACCCATACGTGTTACGAATGGTACTGCCCAAAGGAAATGTTTTGTTCAGTATTATAGCAGGTACGTGTTGTTTTATTCTAACGTCCAACCGCTGTGTCGTTCCACCTATGTAGTCGCATCCACAACTACATTTGAAATGGTAAATAACAGAATTAATATGGTTGGGTGGGGTAGAACATCTTTACACATAGATGAAAGTACGGACTTAGTTTGAAAGACAACACGAACGTTCGCTGCAAAATAACACTCACGTGAACTACATGAAATACGCTTGGCGAAGGATTATCTAATCCTATTCAACCACGGTAAACGAAGATAGACCGGACATTTACCCACTGAAGCAGGTGTGATTTTGTTGAACCTGGCAGTCTCATCTCTTATGACCGATTGAACAATGTTCAACGGATAACCATTGTTCACAAAGATCTCAGTTAAACAACTGATTTCATGTTTCAAGGTGTCACCCGAACAAACCATTAACGCCCTATGTGTCAGGGTCCTAATCAAATTTATCTTCTGTCGTTTAGGACAAAAGGATTCCCATCGAGTATATAGACCTGTAAAAGTAGCCTTCCTGTACACAGAGGTAATAAATGAGGAAGGAGTTCTTTGAACAAGAACGTCCAAGAACAGCAATGAACCACTGACCTCTTTATCTACAGTAAATTTAAGGGCAAGATGAACACCATTGAGTAGGGAAAAAATTGATCCCCTTCCGATTCATGGCTGAACACACAAAAAGTGTCATCCACATACCGAAAGTAAACCTTGGGTCGGGCAGAACTAACAAAAGGCTTTTCTCATAAAAACACACAAAAATATTTGCCAACACAGGACCCAAAGGGGAGCCCATCGCTACTCCATCGATCTGACGATACATGATATTGTCGAAACTGAAATCGACATATATATATATATATATACATATATATATATATATATATATATATATATATATATATACATATATATACATACATATATATACATACATATACATATACATACATATATATACATACATATATATATACATATATATATATATATATATATATATATATATATATATATATATATATATATATATATATATATATATATACATACATATATATATACATATATATATATACATATATATATACATACATATATATATACATATATACATATATATATATATATACATACATATATATATATATATATATATACATACATATATATATATACATACAAATATATACACATATACATACATATATATACAGATATACATACATATATATATACATACATGTATATATCCACATATACATACATAAATACATATATATACACATATACATACTTATATATACATATATATATACATATATGCGTATACAGATATACATACATATATATACACATATACATACATATATACATACGCATATACATACATATATACATACATACATACATACATATATATATACATATATATATATATATATATATATATATATATATATATATATATATATATATATATATATGATATTGAAATAATAGGAAAGAACAGTCAGATTTATAATCCAGAGTTCTTTACCATATATATCTTTATATATTCAGTTCCATGGATATGAGTTTGTGACCCTTGGTTTCACGATTTTGTGATCATCAGACAAATTGGTTTATTTTTTAAAAACTGAATCTATTTATGCTTGTTTGTGTCTGACTAGTGGTGAGAGAGGAAAACCCAGGGTCACAAATTCATATCCACACAACTCAGTGTCACAAACTTATACCCACGCAACCCTGGGTCATAAACTCATATCCATACAATTGAATATGTTAGCTCAATCACTGATATTAACCACTTCCCAATAAGTACCGCGCATATATAAGTATCAATATAAGCAAGGCAATAAAGCCACTTGAACGCAAGTTGTTACAAGGTGTGGAAGAATTAGGAACAGAAACATTAACAGTGGGCAGAAAGAGAAAAGAGTAATCATGAGGAGAGTAGATAGCGATGACATTGCATTAAAACTTTTGAAATACTGATATTTTGTGGGTACGTTTATCCACGTTTACCGTGTGTTTGTAAAAGTCTCTCAAACAATTGTAAAAAAAAAGATTAACTTACGGAAATCTGAGGCCCATCCTTTTGTAACATTTTGCGCATCGAGAACAGTTACGTGTATCAACAAACATGCTGTATGATCAACCTGCAAATACAATAAGCAAATGGAAATTGATTTTTATAAGTTTACTAGCAGCATGGCCCGGCGTTGCCCGTGCTTGATTCAAAAATAGTACGACTAATATAACAATCGCTATCACCCTTCCTTGCCTTTAGAAGAGTGCCCTTTGCCGTACTGATGTTGTTTCATGCCTTACTTCTTGCCTATATCACACTGCCAACTTTTTCTAAGCTCTACAGTAAACATTAAATCTGTTACGAAAAAAGAACTAAACAAAATAAACACAATACGATCAGCTTTAAAAAACCGGAAAAAAACATTTTTAAGGGTTGACCGATTGTCGATTTGCACTCTGTTTGGGGGGTGCTCAGAGTTGAAACTTCAGAGTTTTATCGATTTTCCGCGCTGTTTAGGGGTCCGTCGTCATGAAACTTCTGGACAACACTTCTAATGGTAGACTCTAAAAGGCTGTCAAATTTGGTTGAAATGCGATCATTCCTTCTGTAAGCAGAATTTTTTCGATCATCGATAACCTGATTCCAAACTCAAAAATCGGGCTCCGTCATGTCCTTACGGCAGCCATTTGCAAACTTGTGTTGAAAACCGCATCGAAATCGGGTGAGAAATGCGGCCTGGGCGAGGTAACAACGCCCACGACAGACACACAGACAGACAACATGAGAAATATAGATAGTAGATAGATAGATAGATAGATAGATAGATAGATACTCATTTAAATTTCATATATGCACACATGTTTAAAGCATATGTTGCTTCATATCTTTTTTAAACTATAGATGAACATTGTTTATTAATATATATAGAATGAGCATACACGATGAAAAAATGTACATTATTTGCATTATTCGGACTATTGTCCTCATCTTTGTCGCCATATGTACTACAACGTTTCGGCCGTTGTACGTTCCGGCCTTCTTCAGGTGGTTGGAACATAGAACTTAGCCCTTTATTTCGCTCACTGGGGTAGACTGTTCTAGTTCCATGTTTAATGGATGTCAGTTATCTTCTGTTAATTCCCCTCTGAAAGTTCTCCACTGCCTTAACCGGGTATTGAACTCACACTCTTTGGGTCCTGTCACTGGATCTATCCACTGAGCCATGTGTCCTTGAGGACAGATACTGAACGATGAAAAATGATGTCCCAAACTGAAAACAAAATTTAATCGTCAAAATCTTTATGTTATGAGTTCGTCTTATCTGGTTGTCCACACGTCGAGAGCGTCTTTTCTCGACAGAAAAAAAACAAAACAAAAAAAAAAATACTGGTATTTTATAGTTCTCCTAGTCCCAGCACCACGCTAACTATTGGATAATACCTTCCCAAAATTGTTCATATGCAATTCATTTAATCTTTCTTTTTTATTTCTTTCTTTCCTTCTTTCTTTTTTTTCTTTTTTGTCATTTCATGTATATTTTAGCATTTCATTTTTTTCTTTCTTTCTTTTTTTCTTTCTTTCTTTTTTATCATTTCATGTATATTTTAGCATTTCATTTTTTCTTTCTTTTTCTTTCTTTCTTTTTTATCATTTCATGTATATTTTAGCATTTCATTTTTTTCTTTCTTTCTTTCTTTCTTTTTTATCATTTCATGTATATTTTAGCATTTCATTTTTTCTTTCTTTTTTCTTTCTTTTTTATCATTTCATGTATATTTTAGCATTTCATTTTTTCTTTTTTTTTCTTTCTTTTGTTTTTTTTCATTTTTTTTTTAGCATTTCATTTTTTCTTTTCTTTCTTTCTTTTTTATCATTTCATGTATATTTTAGCATTTCATTTTTTCTTTCTTTCTTTCTTTCTTTTTTATCATTTCATGTATATTTTAGCATTTCATTTTTTCTTTCTTTTTTTCTTTCTTTCTTTTTTATCATTTCATGTATATTTTAGCATTTCATTTTTTTTCTTTTTTCTTTTTTCTTTTTTTCATTTCATGTATATTTTAGCATTTCATTTTTTCTTTTTTTTTTTATCATTTCATGTATTTTATTTTTCATTTTTTCTTTCTTTTTTTCTTTCTTTTTATCATTTCATGTATATTTTAGCATTTCATTTTTTTTTTCTTTTTTCTTTCTTTTTTATCATTTCATGTATATTTTAGCATTTCATTTTTTTTTTTTTTCTTTCTTTTTCTTTTTATCATTTCATGTATATTTTAGCATTTCATTTTTTCTTTTTTTCTTTTTTTTTTTTTATCATTTCATGTATATTTTAGCATTTCATTTTTTTTTTTTTTTTCTTTTTTTTCTTTTTTTTTATCATTTCATGTATATTTTAGCATTTATTTTTTTCTTTCTTTCTTTTCTTTCTTTCTTTTTTATCATTTCATGTATATTTTAGCATTTCATTTTTTTTTTCTTTCTTTTCTTTTTATCATTTCATGTATATTTTAGCATTTCATTTTTTTTCTTTCTTTTTTTTTTTTTATCATTTCATGTTTTTTAGCATTTCATTTTTTTTCTTTCTTTTTTTTTATCATTTCATGTATATTTTAGCATTTCATTTTTTCTTTTCTTTCTTTTTTTTTTTTATCATTTCATGTATATTTTAGCATTTTTTTTTTTTCTTTCTTTTTTTTCATTTCATTATATTTTTAGCATTTCATTTTTTTTTCTTTCTTTCTTTCTTTTTATCATTTCATGTATATTTTAGCATTTCATTTTTCTTTTTTTTCTTTCTTTTTATCATTTCATGTATATTTTAGCTTTCATTTTTTTCTTTTTTTTATTATTTCATATATTTTAGCATTTCATTTTTCTATATTTTCTTTGTCTTTTTTATTTTATATTCACCATATTTCACCTTTATTTTTTTTTTTCTTTTAATTTCATTTATATTTTTCTTTATTCTTTTTCTTTCTTTCATTTCATATATTTTCTTTATTTTTTCTTTCTTTCTTTCTTTCTTTCTTTCTTTCTTTCTTTCTTATTTCATTCCTTTTTACATTTTATGTTTCTTTTTTTTCTTATCATTTAATTTCATTTTCCCTTTGTTTTTTCTTTCCTTCCTATTATTTCATTTTTTCTTTTCCATTGTTTTTTCCCTTCCTTTCTCAGAATTTCACTGCTTTGCACCTTATCTCTTCTTTTTCTTTTCATTCTCAATGTTTGTTTTCTCTTTCTTTCTTCCATATTATTTTTCTTCTTTTTATCTTTCTTTATTCTATCTTTCTTTCTTTTTTTATTGATATACCTTCTGTGTCTCTCTTACCCTTTCCTTTCCTTTCCCTTTTTCTTTCTTTCTGGAAGTTCTTTTTGTTTTCAATCTGCTTCTTTATTTCGTTTGATATTTTTCCCCTTTCATTTTTACACAAATCTACAGTATTCTTCTCCTCTTTCACAAGCAGCCCGATTACTAAGCCCCTATTTGAATAATTAATCATAGACTGAGAGGTCTTCAAATATTTCTCAGAGAAATGTAAACAAAAGACTTGTTTTACCACAGAATATAGGTCATACCCAAATATATATTTAGGACTCAATCTCTCGTATAACTGGCGATTTAAACATTGCTAAATAAGTAGATATTTCCCAGTGACGCCACATTGTACACGTTCGAAGTCAGTGAGGACAGAATGTGCTGTCATCTGCGAAAGGGACAGCCCACGGTGTGAAGTTCGAATTGGAGATATCAGAATTAAGCAGTTGCAAAAATTTAACAATCTGGGAAGTGTAGTAACGGACAAAGAAACATGGATGGCAGAGCAAGGACAAAACGGGATGGTAAAGAATTGAATGTTGCTTAAAACTACAAGAGAGAGAAGTTGTGGAGGACCATGATCACCTATATCCTGAAGAGTCATGTTGCATAAAAGAAATGGTGAATGTATGGCAGAACAGGAACAAGGAAGGATATTAAAAAGTTGCTGGGACATGCAGTGGACTGGAAGTTGTGGAGGGCCATGATCACGTACGTCATGAAAAGCCAAATCACATACAAGAAGAAGATAATAAATGCCAGAACAGAGACAAAGAGGAATAGTAAAGATTCAAATGTTGCATAGAGATACAAGTGGCAGGTAGTTGTGGAGGACCATGATCGCCCACGTCCTGAAGAGCCAAATCACATATAAGAAGTTATTGAATGTTATCACAGAAAATGGGTTATAATGGGGCCTATAGCCTTGGGTGGCAACCAATCTAAGAAAACTAACACAGCTTTGAACCCAAACCCCCAACTATGGGTTAAATAGTCTCAGTAACCCACAATTGGACCAGCATGAAGAGTACGTCTACACTTCTGTCGATATGGTCAGTTAGGGAGGTGTAATGCTAACAGGGCTTAGGATTTGGCGGGAATGCCACTGGTACGCAAGGGGTAACAGAGAGTGAGAGTGGGAGAAATAACTGGGTATAAGGGAAAATGGAGGTAAGGATAAAAGCTAAACGGGGTTCAAGAATGTAGAAGATGTCTACTAATGTTGCATTTAAAGTTTTGAAGATTATAGTTATCAGGGAATAAGTAAATGGAAGAGAGTTCCACAGGCGAGAAATGCGAGAAATGAAACTGTTAGAGTAGAAGCGGCAGTTACATTTAACTAATTCAACATTAAAAGCGTGGGACCTAAATGCCAATCTAGTAGCATGCTTAAATTCACGTACTCCGGGCACCAGGAAAAAAGACTCCTCAGAGCAGTTACCATGAAATAATGTGTAGAAAAGACAGAAGGAAGCCATGTCCCGTCGGTGAAAAAAAGACTGAAAACGAGATGCGAAGTAACCCAACTTTGCTTGCAGTAGATTCAACTCAGTGGAAAACGCAAAACCAAGAATCCGTCTGTTGCTTTCCATGAATCAAGCATAGGCCATGCTGATGGCGACCAGGAAAGATTCTTGATGTTGGTTGAATGAGAGCAGTTTGGTTTTGGAGGCATTAAAATTTATGAACTCTTTCCTTTTATTAATAAAAATGAAATATGACTTTTATTAAAATATATTAAAGATTTGATTAGAAAATTTATATATCAAACTAATAGTGGTTATTCTGATAACAAATTGGAAAAATTCCCAAGTAACACATTTCGACATTAAAAAAGTTTTAATTAAAGGTGATGAAAGTAATTTATAAAGTCAAAAATATATTGTACTAGCAGCATGGCCCGGGGTTGCCCATGCTTGATTCAAAAATTGTACGACTCATACAGCAATCGCTATCATATGACTTAAAATATTTTTGCCCTTCCTTGCCTTTAAAGGAGTGCCCTTTGTCGGGCTGATATTGCTACATGCCTTACTTCTTGCCTTTTTCACACTGCGAATTTTTTCTAAGCTCTATACAAAACATTAAATCTGTTACGAAAAAAAATTAAACAAAATTAACACAAAACGATCAGCTTTAAAAAAGCACTCGTAACTGGAAAAACCGAATGAAAAAAAGAATGTTAACAACAAATACTTTTTCACATCCAACCCAGTTCTGCGGAATCAGAATCAATGTTGAGTTTAAGCAAGCGAATGAGCCAATTGGAGTAAAGTGCCATGCAGATTTAAATTTTTCCCACTTGTGACGAATGCAGCTATCGATTTTTTTTTTTTTTTGCATGCTAGCATGCTAGTTAACATTCGTGTCAGCCAGCTATTGGCTCTCACGCTGGCCAGTACAAAATAGCCGCAAACTACATGAAAACTGCCGTAGAAGCATGAATAAAATCGATTATTTCCACTATCGATGGGAGTTGGAAAATGCAAAGTTGGTCTTGGCCTTTCCGATAACTTGGGGCATGTGCATGTAAATTTTGGTGCAAATCCGTTGAAAATTGCGGCCGTGCATTCGTTACACACACACACACACACACACACACACTGCATTTTATAGATATAGATATGCATTAATTTTGAAATCTCTCGTGGTAAATTTTCATCCAGGCTTATCCACTTTCTTCACAAAATTACTACGAATACAATATTGATTAATAAAAAAAACAAAAAAAACAACAAAAAACAAAACAATTTACATTGTTTGACTAAGAAGAAAGTAAAACAAGAAATTAGTATGACTTTTAAACCAATATTATCACCAAAATATATTCTAAGAATCTAAAAATATTTCTGTCTTTAAATAACATGCAAAGTGTAGATAAACCGTAAAAACGAATCAGTCAATCAATCTACTGATTAAGCAAAAGAAATTAAAAGAATAATTATTAAGACTTGTAAACCATTATTATCACCAAAATATATTCTTAGAATCTAAAAATATTTATGGCTTTAAATAACATGCAAAAGGTTGATAAGCCGTAAAAAACGAATCAATCAAACAAACAATCTATTGATTAAGTAGAAGAAATTAAAAGAAGAAATTAGTATGACTTTTAATCCATTATTATCGCCAAAATATATTCTTAGAATCTAAAAATATTTTCTGGCTTTAAATAACAGGGTTGATAAGCCGTAGAAAACGTACCAATCAATTAAAATTACTTTTACTTTAAAACATATAAAATATTTCTTACCCCGAATTTAAATGAAAAATATTGATTCGTTTATTCTGTAACTTTTTTGCCCACAAACTAAAGTTTTAAATTTATTCTCTATCTCCTTTCCTACCCTAATAAAGCATACCTTATAATTTTCTTTCTTTTTTTTTTTCCAGTGATTTTCATCTTCAACCATCTCATCATGGCTTCATACATAGATGCCTATTCAACCCAGGAGCATCACTGCAGCTATAAACATTGCGGTGTGTCTTGGGCAAGATAACTTAATGGAGCCTAGCCTTCTGTTTTGTATTCAGTGTTTTCTTCTTCTTTTTTTCCCCATCCCTTACATGACTTCAAAAGTGCAAAGAATCTGTACTCACCTCAAAAAGTTGATATGGATCAAATCTGAAAGAAGACAAGAGAAAGAAAAATTTTAGCAAAATATGATGTCAACAAAGATGGTTTCTAATGTACAAAAGCATTATCAATCTGAGTAGAACTCAAAACTTTTATTAAACGTGTAACCATGTTAGATACGCATCTAGCTTCGTGGTTGTAATGAGTACAAGGCCGAAAGTAAGGAGCACTCTGTGAGGATCAAACTAACTACTTGGACCTAATTGTTCTAGCGAGACAAGCTTGCTAACAATTACACCAGGTCGAGGTGCCCGATACTTTAGTGGTTATTGATGCAAAAATTCGGTTTGGCCGAGTGAGTTCAAATTTTAGTCGAGGCCATTGCATTCGCTTTCGCACAAATACACTTTGCTCTGAATCCATCTCTTAACTAGATGTTAATGGCAGGACAGACTGGGATCTCTAGCCCTGTTTGTCATCTAGTGTAGAAGAAGAAGAATTCTAGAGTTAATATCGGATCAGTTGCTAGGTCTGCTGCTAGGAAAGTAGATTCACTCATCAAAATCTATCTTCCACATTTATAAATCTACCATTCATCTG